ACTTTCATCATAATTTCTGGGAGATTGGGAAGAATAGGAAGGAGGCACAGCATCGTGACTACTTGCCTCCCTAACTCCGCCATCGCTCTGAGCTGAAGCTCTTCTTAAAGAGAGCGACTGTGAAATAGCAAGATTAGGGCACATCCATAAAATGAAAATAACCTTCAGCAATGAAAATGAGATGAGCTGTTGGCTAAAGCAAACTCGGAATGAATCCCAGAGGCATGGAGGAGTGACATGAAACAAGACAGTCTCAAAGGTGCATACTGCCGTAAGTCATTTACATGCAAACATTCTATTTTAATTCTATTTTTAATTTTATTTTATTATTTTAGAGACACAGGATCGTTGCTCTGTCACGCGACGTCTAGAAGTGCAGTGACGCGATCCACAACTCAGCTGCAGCCGTCGATCCAGGTTCCGTCAGTCCTCCACCTCAGCCTTCTGAGGAGCTAAAAACCACAGGCACCGACCACCTGCATATATAGTATATATGTTGGTGTGTGGTGTTGTGTGAATTATTTTTTTGTTGGTAGAGATGGGTTTCTCCCTATGACTTGCTCAGGGCTCGGGTCCTGAACTCCTGGCCTTAAGCAGTCCCCCTCCTCAGCTCACCAGGTGGTGGATTACGGCTGGGTCTATTGGACATCTATGAGGGCACAAACAATAGGATGGAGAACAGATCAGCCAGGGCTGAGGGCGAGGGCGAGGGTGTGATTGCAATGGATATAGCACAATGGAGTGTTTTGGGACTGTTGAAATGTTTCTGCATTTGATTTGGGTGTGTTATTTAACAGTCTATACATATTAAAATTCAAGAGAACTGTATACCCCAATTGGCTATATTAATAAAAAAAAGAAAGTAAGAATAAAGCCTTAAGAAATGAAGGGAGCCCAGACTTAGTGGCTCCACGCTATAATCCCAGCACTTGGAGCTTGAGGCCTGGGCGGCACACCTGAGGCTCAGGGAGTTCAAGACCAGCCTGGTCAACATGGTGAAACCCTGTCTTTTCTAAAATACAAATTTTAGCCATGCGTGGTGGTGGGGCACCGTAATCCCAGCTGCTTGGGAGGCTGAGGAGGAGAATCGCTTGAACCTGGAAGGCAGAGGTTGCAATGAACCGAGATCACGCCATTGCATCCAGCCTGGTGACAGAGTGGGATCTCCATCTCATAAAAAAAAAAAAAAACAAAAAAAGGAAAGGGAGGGAGGGAGGGAGGAAGAAAGAGAAAGAAAGAAAGGAAGGAAAAGAAAAGAAGGGGCCAGGCAAAGTGGCTCATGCCTATAATCTTAGCACTTTGGGAAGCCACGGTAGGAGGATCACTTGAGCTCAGGAGTTCGAGACCAGCCTGGGCACCACAATGAGACCCTGTCTCTACCAACAATTTTTTAAAAATTAGCACTTGTAATGCCAGCACTTAGGGAGGCCGAGGTGGGCAGATCGCTTGAGCTCAAGAGTTCAAGACCAGCCTGGGCAACATGACAAAACCCCATCTTTAAAAAAAAAAAAAGTAAATACAAAAATGAACTGGGCACGGTGTGTGCACCTGTAGTCCCAGCTACTTGGGAGGCTGAGGTGGGAGGATCGCTTGAGCCCGGGAGATTGAGGCTGCAGTGAGCTGTGTTCGTGCCACTGCACTTCAGCCTAAGTGACAGAGAAAGACCCTATTTCAAGGGAAAAGAAAAAGAAGTGAAGGCTCTGTGGAGAGCGTCCTAGTGTTTAGGTGTCCGAGCTGACCTGGCCCCACGCACTGCTCGTTGGTGCTTCCGTGACAGCGCAGCACGCGTGCCCAGGCCTGGTTCCTCACTGCCAGGCCCATCATCACTCACTGGCTTTTTCCTTCCTCGTGTTAGATTGGAGCTGGAGGGAGCATCACTGGGCTGAAGTTTAACCCTCTCAATACCAACCAGTTTTACGCCTCCTCAATGGAGGGAACAACTAGGCTGCAAGACTTTAAAGGCAACATTCTACGAGTTTTTGCCAGCTCAGACACCATCAAGTGAGTAGTTTAACTAGGCGGGGAAAGGGCTTCCAAGCTTAGGTGTAGTTCCGGCAAGAGCATCCAGATCCCATTTCCTCAACCCAACCTGGCACAGGGAAGAAAGGAAAGATGTCAGCCACCTTCCGCCCTTCTTTCTCTTTCTCAAACTGTTCCTTGGCCACCCTCACTTTGGTCCAGGTGGGTTACTGCTTTGGGAAGGTGTTCTGGAGCTCTTCTGTAAGTCATACCTGTATTAGACTAGACCTTGACCTTCACTAGATAAGCCAGCATGGCATAGGCCCAGAAAGCCACCTAGAGAATGGAGCAGCAGCTAAGAACTTGAGACTGAATTCCCTGCACTCGCTGTGGTGTAATGACCTGAGCTGTTCCTGGGTGCAGGCTTACATGGATGGAATCTTGTCCATAAAGTGCTCTGAACTTCCCAACAGAAAGTGGCTGGAGAAATTACAGAATGCAGCTGGGTGCGGTGGCTCATGCCTGTAATCCCAGCACTTTGGGAGGCCAAGGTGGGTGGATCACCTGAGGTCAGGAGTTCAAGACCAGCCTGGCCAACATGGTGAAACCCCATCTCTACTAACAATACAAAAAATAAGCCGGATGTGGTGGTAGGTGCCTGTAATTCCCAGCTACTTGGGAGGCTGAAGCAAGAGAGTAGCTTGAACCCAGGAGGCAGAGGTTGCAGTGAGCCGAGATTGTGCCACTGCACTCCAGCCTGGGCAACAAGAGTGAAATTCCATCTCCAAAAAAAAAAAAAAAAAAATTATAAAATACTCGTCACTTTGATTTCCAGCTAGAGCCGGGACTCTGACTGCTCCCTGAGGAATTAAGTGAGGGTGCTGGGGTGTAACTAGCATTGGATGGGATCCTGGGCTGTCCTGCAGGGATGAGGAGTGCATGCGCAATTCAGCAGGTGATTGGATAGACGAGGCTCCAGGCTCGTTTTCCGCAAGAAATCTTCTTGCTTGAAGATACTCATAAGGGATGGCAAAAGTCAGTGTAGCATGGATTTGAGGGTTTGAGAGAAAAATTGAGCTGAGCTCCTCTGGCTGGATAGCAGGATCCCTGAAGCACCCCTAGTCAGCCTCCCAGTCCAGTGGTTTGAGGGACCAGAAGGGCTCCTGGTTGTGTGTTTTTCCCTCAGTGTTCAGAAGGGGGCAGAAGTGCCCTTCCAGCCAGCTCTGAGGAACAGAGCCAGGCAATCCCTGTTTGGCTTGGGTCTCCTTTGGCCCAAAGGGTGGAGAGTGAAAGGAGAGAGCAGTAAAGGAGGATTGCTTAGAAGCCGGGGTGTGGGGGCGGGCGTGCCCTGAGGCTTGCTTTATGGTCTGAGCTTTGTCTGCTTCAGAGACTCTTAGGAGCTGGGGATCCTGGGCCCAGCAGTAACCGGACAGATTTCTGAGCCCCATTACCCCATTCCCTCTGTCTGGACGGTAGAGCAGTCTGAATGTTCCTCGCTAGGAATCCACGGCAAGACGGTTATTCATTCATTCAACAAATATTTATTGAATGCCCACTGTGGGTTAGTCACTGGAGCAGCAACAGTGAGTAAACAGGCCTATCTCTGTCCCCAAGAATCTTACAACACAGTCTTTCCCTCCAGCATCTGGTTTTGTAGCCTGGATGTGTCCGCCAGTAGCCGAATGGTGGTCACAGGAGACAACGTGGGGAACGTGATCCTGCTGAACATGGACGGCAAAGAGGTGCGTTCTCCCAGGTCCTGCCTTTCCCTCCCTCATCCCCGCCTCGGTTCTGTGTCCCCACCTGAACCGAGCTCTTCTCTGCAGCTTTGGAATCTCAGAATGCACAAAAAGAAAGTGACGCATGTGGCCCTGAACCCATGCTGTGATTGGTTCCTGGCCACAGCCTCCGTAGATCAAACAGTGAAAATCTGGGACCTGCGCCAGGTTAGAGGGAAAGCCAGCTTCCTCTACTCGCTGCCGCACAGGCATCCTGTCAACGCAGGTGTGATATCCCAGACCTCATCTCTCCTGCAGACCCTGCCTATCTGACTACTGCTGGGGTGTTCCCTCAGCGTGGAAGCCACTACCACAAACCTTTACCCCTGATAGCGTCTGCCAAGCTGATGTCTGGGAACCTTTGTGGCTGTGGCTGTCCCCATCAACTGCTGAGTTTCCAGAATTTTGTTGTTGTTCATAGCCCAGATTCACCTCTTCCTTTCTGCTCCTGTCTAGAGAGGAGTGGTAGGGAGGGTACCCCTGCAGGAGAAGGCCTGCAAGGCCAGGACCACAGGGGGCTCGTGGTTCCTTCAGCTCAGGGGCTTTTCACTTTGCCAGCTTGTTTCAGTCCCGATGGAGCCCGGCTCCTGACCACGGACCAGAAGAGCGAGATCCGAATTTACTCTGCTTCCCAGTGGGACTGCCCCCTGGGCCTGATCCCGCACCCTCACCGTCACTTCCAGCACCTCACACCCATCAAGGTGAGTGGCGGAGGGAAGGAGCTCCCAGAAGGAAGCTGTGATCATGAGGCTGGAGCAGGTCTGCCCACGGTGGGGAAGGGCTGATGTGGTAAGCCTGCCACCCCAGATCGCTCCTGGCCCAAGCACAGAGCATCTCTTACCCTTTGGCTCTCTCTCTTCCTTTTATCCCACTTCTGCCATTCCATATGGTTGAGTTTTCTTTCTGTCTCTCTGATAAAGTATTTTTCTGAGTTTTTTCAGCCCAGCTCTGATCTCACGGTGAGCATTTTCTAAGATCCTGACCCTCTGTTCTGTCTTCTCAGCTTCAGTTACCTGTGTACAGTTGACCCACAAACCTTCACCTTTTATTTATTTATTTTTTTTAAGGCAGGGTCTCGCTCTGTCACCCAGCTGGGAGTATAGTGGGGCAATCATGGTTCATTGCAGCCTTGATCTCCCAGGCTCAAGCGATCCTCCTGCCTCATTGTTTTTGTGTTTCTTTTTTGCTTTTTGTTTTTTAAAGACAGGGTATTCCTCTGTTACCCAGGCTGGTCCTTTTTTTTTTTTTTCTTTCTTGAAACAGGGTCTTGCTCTGTCACCCAGGCTGGAGTGCAGTGGCACAAACATAGCTCACTGCAGCCTCAACCTCCTGGGTTCAAGCAATCCTTCCATCTTAGCCTCGGGAGTAGATTGGACTACAGGTGTGTGCCACCACATCCAGCTAATTTTTTTATTTTTTGTAGAGATGGGGTTTTGCCATGTTGCCCAAGCTGGTCTTGAACTCCTAGGTTGAAGCTATCCTCCCGCCTTGGCCTCCCAAAGTGCTGGGATTACAGGCATGAGCCACCACGCCTGGCAACTTTGCCTTCTTAGTTTGTCTTGCAGGTTTCTGTGCTTCTAATAATAAAAATAAGTCTTTTATTTTCCCACCTTTTCGCAGGGTCTTGTTAATAGCTTCTCTATCCTTAGTCCCCAAGACTAATGGCTTTCAAGTCCTTTGATGCCTTCTTGCCTGAGCCCCCATGCAGCCTGAGCTCTGCTAGTTCTGCGTCCTTTTCCAAAACTACAGATCCTCTTCAGATCTTCAGGTTTTATGCCTGTACTTCTCTGGTCAGTTCAGCCTAGTGGTGGAGAGCACCAGTTTTCAGCAGCCAGACCCCCCGGGTTAGAATCCTTGGGCAAATTATTTATATTTTGGATCTGTTTCCTCATCTGCAAAAAGGGAATACTAGTCTCTAACTGATAGGGTTGTTGTGACGATGAGTCAGTATACTTAAAGCACTTGGCCCCATGCCCAGCACCTGGTAAGTATTGGTAAGTACTCAATAAATGATGATTGAATATTGAGTGGCCCCCATGTACCTCAATCACATCCAAGCTCTTAATAAATAATGTCAAGAATCCTTCCCCAATTGGTGTTCCTGTTAATCCATCAGTGTTCCTAATAATCCATCTGTCCCCATGTCCCAGTTTGTATCTGGCCAGGTGTCATAAGTCATAACAGCTTCCTGTGATTTGTGACTTACTTCTAAGCCTTTGCATGTACTAGTTCTTCCTTCCTGCTAACCATGTCTTTCCTCCTTCAAAACTTCCTTGAGAAGTTTAATTAGGAAAATCCCATCGAATTTTGTCATTTTAATAACTGCCAGATTTGTTTTCAGTGGGGTGATCTGGGGAACGTGGGTTTCCTTCTCTTTTTTAGCCAGTAGCAATTCTATACTCAACTCTTAGTAATTCATGCTGACGGAGGCGGGATGATAGTGGGGTTCCTCCAGAACTGAAGTCCTGTTAGGTTTTGGTCAACAGAGGCTTCTTTTGCTTTGTTGTAGGCTGACCTCTTAGGCTAATATCTGGGTCAGGCTGAGGTGAAAACGTTTATCAGTTAGCATGATCTTAGGAAATGCAAGTGAGGGAGAAGGCCTGAAGCTGCCCTAAGGGCCAGGGAGGCCAGCTAGGGATTAAAAATGTGCAATGGCAGAGGCAAACATAACCAAAAACCATTCTTGTCGTTTTCTGTAAGACTTACCTCCATTATTAGGTTGGCTTGTTACTGGCAAATAATACCTTTTTTTTTTTTCCCCTTTGAGACAGAGTCTTGCTCTGTCCCCTAGGCTGGAGTGCAGTGGCATCATCTTGGCTCACTGCAACCTCCGCCTCCCAGATTCAAGTGATTCCCCTGCCTCAGCCTCCCGAGTAGCTGGAACTACAGGCATGTGCCACCACGCCCAGCTAATTTTTTTTTGGTATTTTTAGTAGAGACAGGGTTTCACCATGTTAGCCAGGATGGTCTCGATCACCTGACCTCGTGATCCGCCCACCTCGGCCTCCCAAAGTGTTGAGATTACAGGCCGAGCCACCGCGCTCGGCCCAAAGAATACTTTTGATGTCCCTCTTTGTTGATGTTTGATGTCCCTCTTGGTCATGTTCTGCGTTTACTCTCATGACCGGCCTCTCCACCTCCTAGGCAGCCTGGCATCCTCGCTACAACCTCATTGTCGTAGGCCGATACCCAGATCCTAATTTCAAAAGTTGTACCCCCTATGAAATGAGGACGATCGATGTGTTTGATGGAAACTCAGGGAAGATGATGTGTCAGCTCTATGACCCAGAATCTTCTGGCATCAGTTCGGTGAGGCTTGGGCCCTCAAATAATGATGGGAGGAAGCAGGGATTCAACCTACCTTATTGACCAAAAATGACCAGAAATTAGGTTTTGTGTGCCCTTCTATGTCTCTGCTAATACCTTCACCCTTTCCTTGTGTTGACACTCTTGTCTCTGCAGCTCAATGAGTTCAATCCCATGGGGGACACGCTGGCCTCTGCAATGGGTGAGTAGGAAGAGGATGTATCTGACTTGCCGAGCCCAATCCTACTTCCCAAGGTTCAGTGCGGGCCAGCCTCAGCCCTGCCCTGCCACATTCACCCCAGCGCAGTGGCCCGCGAAGAAGATGGCTGGAAGACAGTGGTCTCTTTAGCCGAGGCCCTCCATGCCTCTGGCTTTGTCTTGGTCATGCAATGCCTGGCTACTGTCCAGTTTCCTAATGTTTCTTTCTTTTTTTTTTTGAGATGGGGTTTCACTCTTATTGCCCAGGCCGGAGTGCAATGGTGTGGTCTTGGCTCACTGCAACCTCCGCCTCTCGGGTTCAAGAGATTCTCCTGCCTCAGCCTCCCGAGTAGCTGGGGTTACAGGTGCCTGCTACCACATCCAGCTAATTTTTTTCATATTTTTAGTAGAGACAGGCTTTTACCATGTTGGCCAGGCTGGTCTCAAACTCCTGACCTCAGGTGATCCGTCCGGCTTGGCCTCCCAAAGTGCTGGGATTACAGGCGTGAGCCATCATGCCGGCCAGTTTCCTAGTATTCCTTTTTTTTTTTTTTGAGATGGAGTCTCGCTGTGTCCCCCCAGGCTGAAGTGCAGTGGCACGATCTTGGCTCAGTACAAACTCCGCCTCCTGGGTTCACGCCATTCTCCTGCCTCAACCTCCCGAGTAGCTGGGACTACAGGTGCCCGCTACCACGCCCAGCTAATTTTTTGTATTTTTAGTAGAGATGGGGTTTCACCGTGTTAGCCAGGATGATCTCGATCTCCTGACCTCACGATCCGCCCGCCTTGGCCTCCCAAAGTGCTAGGATTAGCCACTGTGCCTGGCCTTCCTAGTATTTCTTTACCAAATCCTAGGTTTGCAGGCCAGCCCCAGGCTCTGAGAGACTGGTAACGGAAGGTGTAAGTCAGACTGGTCTCATTCCTCCTAGGTTACCACATTCTCATCTGGAGCCAGGAGGAAGCCAGGACCCGGAAATGAGAGACACTAAAGAAGGTGTGGGCCAGACAAGGCCTTGGAGCCCACACATGGGATCAAGTCCTGCGAGCAGAGGTGGCGATTTGTTAAAGGGCCAGAAGTATCCACGGCTAGGGTTGGAGCAGAGGTGCTGGGAGCTGGGGCGCTGTGGGACTGGGACACTTTCGTGTTAATGCTCTGGACCTACCTCCAGAGACTGCTCCAGAGTTGGTGACGCAGCTGCCCCAAGAGCCCCTCTGTATCTAGCCTGGAACCAAGGTTATCTTGGAACTAAATGACTTTTCTCTTCCTCTCAGTGGGTGGTAGCGGAGGGATCAAGCAGTTATTTGATTTCTGCTCACTTTTGATATGGCCAATAAAACCATACCCGACTGAGCTTTTGTGTGGATCTTCCAGAAGTGACCTGGTCAGAGAGCTTCTTGTGTCTCAGAAATGAAAAGGCACAGGAAACAGCACTATCAGTCCAATAGGAAACAACACTATTCATTCTCTGGGAGCTGCCCCAGCCCTATTCTGGGCCACAGTCTACAACTTTCTTTTCCAGCTCACAACCTGCATGTACCTCAGGTCCCTGGAGACCCCAGCCCAGCTGAGGGACAGCAGTTTCCTGATTCCATGTGGCAAGCAACTCCCCTCCCACCACTCCCCACTCCCTCCCAAGTACAGACACCCTTCCGTCCTGCTCCAGTTGAAGGGGTGACAAAGGTTCCTGAAGCATTCTGTCTGAGTCTAACGGTGGCTCTAGCCAGACACAGGGAAATGTGGCTGGCTGGCTGTTGGGTGATCCAGTTCTTTGGGAGCCAATGTTTGTACCCCTGGTATTTGCTGTTTTTCTCACTAAAATAAGCACTGACAGGCAAGACCGTGTCCTCTGAGCTATTTGCCAAAGACTCCAGGCTGGAGGAAAAAGAACGGGGCTTGATAGAAGCGCAAGGTGGATCCAGCACCAACTCTGCCGTTTTCTAATCCTAGGTCCTGAGTGAACACTGATGGCCAGTTTACATCTCAGGTGTGTAGGGAGCATGGAGGAGGCAAATCCTGTTTGGAGAAAGCCAGTGTCCAACACAGCACTTGGTAAACATCAGGCATGGGAATGCTGAGTGACAGGCACCACGGGCCACGCTGAGCCCCACTCGCTCATCTGGCTGGGGTCATCAGAGGGAGGCCCAACCCAGGATCTCCCGTCCATGGGCTGGGGAGCAGCAACAGTCAGGAGCGAGGGCCCAGCCCACCTCCCCTAGGAGGCGGAGGGAAGCGGGCTGAGTGGTTGTCAGGCATGGTCCTCCCCATCTGCGACGTGGCGGTAGCCAGGAGGCTGGGCCTGCATCCGGAAGAGGACGGTGAGGAGCAGCACTATGAGGAGGAAGAGGATGGAGCCACATACAGCCAAGGCCACGATCACTTCTGGGCATGGGGGAGGCAAGAGAAAGGTCATGTCAGTGTTCCATCATATGCCAGGTACTGTTCTGATACACAGAGGTGGCCAAGACAGAGTCCCTGCTCTCATGAAGTTTACGTGCTAGGAGAGGGGATGTAATAAATAAGCAAATGGGCTGGTCACAGTGGCTCATGCCTGTAGTCCCAGCACTTTGGAAGGCTGAGACAGGCAGATCACCTGAGGTCAGGAGTTTGAGACCAGCCTGGCCATCATGGTGAAAACCCATCGTTACTAAATAAAGTTGGCCGGGCGCAGTGGCTCACACCTGTAATCCCAGCACTTGGGGAGGCCGAGGTGGGCAGACCACCTGAGGTCAGCAGTTCAAGACCAGCCTGGCCAACATGGTGAAATGCCATCTCCACTAAAAATACAAAAAATTAGCCGGGCGTGGTGATGCGCGTGTGTAATCCCAGCTACTTGGGAGGCTGAGGCAGAGTAATTGCTTGAACCCGGGAGGCAGAGGTTGCAGTGAGCTGAGATCGTGCCATTGCACCCTAGCTTGGACAACAAGAGCGAAACTCCATCTCAAAAAAATAAAAAATACATAAAAGCTGGGCGTGGTGGTACACGCCTGTAGTCCCAGGTACTCAGGAGGATGAGGCGGGAGAATTGCTTGAACCTGGGAGGCGGAGGCTGCAGTGAACCGAGATCACACCACTGCACTCCAGCCTGGGCGACAGAATGAGACACTGTCTCAAAAAAAAAAAAAAGTTAGGAGTGACAGGTCAGTGATGAATGTGATACAGAGAGACAAAGCAAAGTAGGTCAGCAGGGAAGGCATCGTTGAGGAAGTGAGAAGTTTAACAGAGACCTGGAGTCAATGAGTGACATACAATGATCTGAGAAGAGTGTCATGGGGCAGAGGACAGGAAGGAAGGGCAAAAGGCCCAAATGTGGGGATAAGCCTGGCATGTGCTAGGATCATCAGGAAAGTCAGTCTCACCAGAGCAGAGTAAGCAAAGGGCACGTAGGAGATGGGGCAGGAGACCAGATGGAGTAGGGCCTGGAAGGCCAGGTGAAGAACTTGGATTTTATTCTACATGTGATGGGAAGCCATTGGAAAATTCTGAGAAGACAGTAGTGTGAACTGGTTTAAGAGTTAACTCAGTCGGCCACGGTGGCTCATGCCTGTAATCCCAGCACTTTGGGAGACTAAGATGGGCGGATCACCTGAGGTCCGGAGTTTGAAACCAGCCTGACCAACATGGAGAAACCTCGTCTCTACTGAAAATACAAAATCAGCTGGGCGTGGTGATGCATGCCTGTCATCCCAGGTACTCAGGAGGCTGAGGCAGGAGAATCGCTTGAACCCGGGAGGCGGAGGTTGCAGTGAGCCGAGATCGCGCCATTGCACTCCAGCCTGGGTGACAAGAGCAAAACTCCGTCTCAAAAAAATAAAAACAGTTAACTCTGCTGTGCTGAAAGACTGGTAGGGACAAGAATAGAACCAGAAAGAACTAGGAAACTTCAGTCGGTCGGCAAAAGC